GAGACCCCCAACAAGATGGATTGGCCAAGTGACAGCATCTATGGACTCAAGCGTGGCAACAGTAGTGAGGTGGCCCAGGATCGGGCAGTGTTTCGTTCTGCTAGGCATAAGGTACATGCGTCAGTACAGACTCAATAATACCTAACAACAGCAACACCCCCACAAGGGTGCCATGAATCTTATTTGCATTATTAGCAAGCTATCCAATCTCTTTGGTGGGCCAAAGCACCTCATTTACATATCCCACCCAATTGTGGTATAGTGCTGTAGGATACGTATTGGAGTACTAACCTCATGACTGGCAGTTCAAACCCACTAGCCACTCCTCAGAAACCCTATACAAGGTCACTGTGGGTTGGAACCAACTCGATTACACCAGCTCACCACCACCACTCAGTCATTCGTTAGGAGTGGAAAAGGCTATAGCTAGAAGGGCCTTAGCAAGCAATGTTGTTGTTGTTGTTGTTGTTAAGTGCCGTCGAGTCGGTTCCGACCCATAGCGACCCTGTACAGGGTTTCCGAGGGTGTAAATCTTTACGGGAGTAAAAAGCCTGATCTTTCTCCCACAGAGCAGCTGCAATGTACTGCCCCTTAAATTAAAGCCAGTGGCTTTAGGAGAACTCGGATAGCAACCGCACCATAGACGTGAACAAAGACAAGGCTAAGAGGAAGTCGGAGAAGCTTTGCGAGATGCCCTCCCCCCCCTTTTTTTTTTTGGAGTGATAAAATATTTTATTGAAATTATTTCCATCTGTTAGAGATAACATGGAAAGAGTGAAGAGGAGAAGTTATGTTGCACTATCTATTAGTCGGGGTTATGAGTAAGAGCCACTCCTAACTGTCCTTGTTGTTAAGTGCTGTGGAGTCGGTTCCAACCCATAGCGACCCTGAACAGGGTTTCCGAGGCTGTAAATTTTTATGGAAGCTGAAAGCTTCATCTTTCTCCCGCGGAGCAGCTGGTAGTTTCAAACTGCTGACCTTGCGGTTTACAGCCCGATTCATAACCACTAAGCTACCAGAGCTCCTTCTTAAGCCTTTTTTATTTCTCTTTAACTTTTGATTGTGAATTCAGAGACGGTGTACAGCGCAGATCCTCAGTCCCATATTCTACAGATCAAATACCCGGCTTCATCACATGGCTGTAATCCCTCCTTGTGTCTCCTGCTCCCTTCAGCGTTCCTCTGTTAACCTCCCTCTTGCTGGAGATTGCCTACCGTGTCATCCATGTTAACATGGACCTACCCTCCAGACCATGAACAAACCCCTTCTCCCACCCACTCCGTAACCACCATACATGGCTTGTCTTATCAAGAAACCCTTTTTTTTTTTTTTCCACAAATTTTTACAACAATGGTTTCATACAATATTTGTCATTTTGTGATTGACTAATTTCACTCAGCATAATGACCATATTGTTCAACCATATTGTGAGGTGTTTCACAGGTGCTTCAACGTTTTGTAGTATTCCTTTTTTGTATCTGTACCAAAGTTTGTTCAACCATTCTTCTGTTGGTGGGGCATTTAGGCTGTCTCCATCTTTTTTATTTCTCTTGTAGACAGCATATTGAAGGATCCTATCTTCTTATCCAGCCTGCTCTCTGTCTCTTGGCTGGTACATTCAATCCATTTACATTCAGTGTAATTATCAATAAGTACGAATTGATTGATGTCATTTTGTTGTGTGTATTTTTGTGGTGCTCCTGGATTCTTGTTCCACATAATTTTCTGTGCTGAGTTCATTTTGTTTGTGGATTTTCCTTTCATTTTCTTTTCTGTTGTGTCAATATTTACTAAATCTTTCTGCCTTTCTTTGGATGTACAGCTCTATTATTTTTCATTGAGGTTACCCTGTAATTTATTAATTTGTTCCCTGCTTAAAACCATCTGTTTTATCTTGAAATCTACTGGATTTTCTTGACTTTTGGAACTTCTGTATCTACACTATTCCGTGTTCTTGCTTTATAGTTGATTTCATTATACATTGATATCTCTGGGTCTCTATTTTCCATCTTATAGATTTGTTTTACTTTTAATCCTTCTATATCTGGATTGAGTTCTGGGTGGTGTTGTCATGACTGGTAGTCTCAGGTTGTTGTCTGTTATTGTTGGTTCACAGGTCAAAGAACACCCTTTAGCACTTTGAGGAGAGTTTGTCTGGTCATTACAAATTCCTTTCATTTCTGTTTATCAGGAAAGGGCCTGATTTCACTGTCGTACTTCAGAGACAACTTTAATGGGTATATGATTCTTGGTTTGAAATGTTTTTCTTTCAGAGTTTTGTATATGTGTTCCCATTATGTTCTTGCCTGCATGGTTTCTGCTGAGGTACAGAGCTTAGTCTTACGGGTTCTCCTTTGTAGGTAAGTTTATGTTTCTCCCTGAGCGGCTCTCAGCATTCTTTCCTTGTCTTTGAATTTGGAAAGTTTGATTATGATATGTCCTGGTGATTTTTTCTTGAGAGCTATCCTATTTGGGGTTCATTAAGCTTCCTATAAAGAGCTCTGGTAGCGTAGTGGTTATGAATCAGGCTGTCAACCTCAAGGTCAGCAGTTCGAAACTACCAGCGGTTCCGCGGGAGAAAGATGAGGCTTTCTGCTTCCGTAAAGATTTACAGCCTCGGAAAGCCTGTACAGGGTCACTGTGAGTCAGAGCCGACTCTCCATTACTTAGCAACAATAAGAAGCTTCCTGTGGGAATCCTGGTGGGCTAATGTGTCAGACTGCAAAGTTGTTGGAACTGCAAGGTCGGTGGTTCAAGCTCACCAGCTGTCACTATGTCACTATGGGTCGGAATCGACTTGACGGCACTTCACACCAACAGCAAGCTTCTTTCATGATGAAAGTTTCCTTCCAACAACTGACAGTTTTCTCTGTGCTTTTCATTGTCTCTCCCTGTTCTGGAATTCCGATCACCCATAAATTGTTCCTCTTCGTGCTGGTCCACATAAATCTCAGGCTTTCTTTGGATATTTTTTTTTTTTTCATTCTCCTTTCTAATTGTTCTTCTAGCATACTAGTATTGAGAGATTTCTCTTCAAGTGCACTAATTCAGATTTCCATTGCCTTGAATCTCTTCCTTTGCCCATTCAACGCATTGCCCATTTCTGAGATCTTAGTATTAATCTTCTGGATTTCTAATAGCTGGCTTTGTATTATTTGAAAATTTGCATTAATTTTATCTATTTGTTCTTGTAGAGTTTTGCTGAATTCTTCTAAAGTTTTCTTCTGTGTTCTCTTTGCTTTTCTTGATCTTTCTGTCTATCCATAAAAGGTACCAGAATATCATCTTCGGAATTTTTTTTCCAGTTATTCCATTACCTTTTCTTCCTCAGAACTGTCCTCTCGCTCCGCATCTTGGTCATTTATGTGAGCCATTCTCTTGGTTTTTCGTGTGAGATAAAATTGTTGCCTCTGGGGCATTGTGGGGTTGTTGTGTTTGTAAAAGCCAGTGCAGCAATTCAGAGAGCTCACCAGGTGGATATCACAGCAGAGTTCCTGGCCCTAGATGGAGCTCCTGTTGGCCTCAGTGCTATCTAAGTTCAGGGCACTCAATCCAGAAATCATTTGTGGGGCTGGTTTCAGTGTGTGTTAGGACCACAGGGCAGCTGGGGGCTGGGTGACTGGTTCAATGCTGTGGGGTTTTAGGTCTGGAGCCAAGCCCACCTGAACCCAGGCACCAAAGCAGTGCAGCCAGTCCCCACCTCACGCTGGTGTTGCTCCAGACCACGTGGCTGTAAACTACCAGAGAGCAGGGTCTGCGCTGGGGGTGGACGGGGGTGGGAGCTGGCCACACTTCTGGGCACCAGGGGAGTGTGGGGAAAACCAAGAAGTCACATCTTTTCCGTGACCCATGTGAATCCGCTCTGCCAGGCCTCCATTCGCTGCCAAAGCTGCTCACCAGCTGGTAGAGCCGCATCTGACCCACCATTCACCAGCCAGTCTCGCACTCTCACCACCCCTGCCCAGACTCTCCTCCCAGCAAGCACTCCAGCCACCTCACTAACCTTTCTTCTGAAGGTCAGGCTGCCAGAATTTTCTTCTGTGTCTGTGTTATTTGGTCTCTCGTTTCTTTGTTGTAGAGGGTCTGTGTAGGGAAGGCCTTTTTTTTTTTTTTTTTGTAGTGAAAATATTTCTCTATAACACAACATCTGCAATTCAATCAGTCATTTCTACATGTACAATTCAGTGAGCAAAAACTCAATGCCCCCAAGCATATTGTCCCTCTTTCCCCTCCCTCCCAACCCTGGTAACCATGAATAAGCTTTGCTTTCCATATATTTGCTTGCTTTATAGAAGATCATATCATGCGTGTCCTTTTGTGTCTGTCTTCCTCTCAGCATGGTACTTCCAAGGTCATCCATGTGGCAGCCAGTAGCAGGATTTCCTGCCTCTGTATGGATGGCTCACACTTTGTATGTCCATCATCTGTTGATGGACACGTGGCTTGGTTCCACTTTTCACACTTGTGAACTTAAGTGTATAGGTTTCTGTCTTGCCTTCCTGCCTTCACTCCTGGTGGGTAAACTTCTAGGACTAGGATTGCTGGGTCATGTGGTACCTGTATGTTCAATGTTCTGAGCACTCACCAAACTTTTCCCACAGTGCTTGCACCCTTTTGCATTTCAACCAGTAATACCTGAGGTTCCAATTCCTCCATACCCTTGCCAACACCTGTTCGTTTCTGTTTGGGGGTTTGGTTTGGTTTGGTTCTCATTGAGGAAGACCGTCTTTCTAACCACATTCTTTCTTTGTAACCACAAAGGAAGAAGACAGAGTGTTTTCTCGGCTGCTGCCAGCCAATCAGCCTGTCACCGCCCTGCCTGAGGAAGGTCACAGGACCGGCATCGGAAATCACGGGACTTTGTCCTGCTGGCCCAGCTGTGAGGGGAGTAGGGACGGACAAAGGTTGTTTATCTGGACTCAGAAATAACTGTGAGGCAACTGCTTGTTTCAGCTCTCTGAGCCGGATTCATACTCTGCTCAGAAGAGAGAAGGTTCCAGATGAAGCCAGAGTCCAGGCAGGCCCTCTTCCATGTCATCATCGCTGGCTGCCTGTGTGTGGCCACCATCTACTCGGGCGTTTTTCAGGGTGTCTTTGTCCAAGTAGGCTACGAGCACTACGCAGAGACCCCCGTGGCCAGCCTGCCCAGCTTCGTAGCCATGCCCTTCAACTCGCTCATCAATGTAGCCTACATGCTCCTGGGATGGCACTGGCTACACAGAGATGGGAGCATGCTGGGCCGCTCGCCAGAGGCACCGAAACTTCAGTACCTGAAGGACGTCTTTGCTGCCATGGCTCTCGTCTATGGCCCCGTCCAATGGCTGCGGATTGGGACGCAGGCACACCCTGCCGCCGTGCTCGACCAATGGCTCACCTTACCCATCTTTGCCTGGCCAGTGGCTTGGTGCCTCTACCTGGACAAGGGCTGGCGGCCCTGGTTGTTCCTCTCCATCGAATGCCTCTCCCTAGCCAGCTACTGCCTGGCTCTGCTGCACCCCTATGGCTTTGACGTTGCCCTGAGTATACATATTCTGACAGCCGTGGGGCAAGCCGTGCGGCTCCAGGCGCGGGCTGGCGATACCACCTCAGGTGTGTACCTAGTCCTGGGGGTACTCTCCTGCCTGGGCTTCGTGGTCCTGAAGTTGTGGGACCATCAGCTTGCACAGTGGCGTCCCTTCCAGCAGCTGACAGGCCACTTCTGGTCCAAAGTCTGTGACGTCGTGCAATTCCACTTTGCATTTTTGTTCCTGACAAATGTAGGCAGTCACCAAAGAGTCCCCAAAGATAAGCAGCTTTAAGCTGCAGAAAGTCCTTGCCACACACAGACATGTTCAACCGAGTGTTTCCGATTCCTGCACATGGCAATAGTGTGGGGGGTTGGGGTGGGGTAGAAGGTGATCCAGATGCACTGCTTTTTTGTGTCAGTATTTCAGTAACCAAATGTTAGACACCAAGAAAGAGATCGATCAAACGGGCCGGGTCTATGTGAATGGTGTTCATTGAACTGTTCTTGTAAATTTCCTGTACTATAAAACTTGCCAAAATAAAAGCGGTGGAGGGAAAGTGATGATCCCTGGAAATCCATCCCTCTCAAGGCGGGAGGGAGAAGGGCTGTGCGCCAGCTCCGAGAGGTTTATGAGCACTGGCTGGGACAACTGTGTGTCCCCAGTGGTGAATGACTCAGAGAGGCCAGGGCACCCCACACACATGCCCAACAACAGCCTGACGTGACCTTCGTGTTGGCCGCAGACAAGTCACATGGAAGCCAGGCCACCTCCGATCACGTGACCAAACCAACACCCAAACCCAAACCCAAGCCACCGCTGTCAAGTGGATTCTGCGCTCTAGCAACCACGTAGGACACTGTGGAACTGCCCCGGGGGGCTTCCAAGGCTACCATATTTACAGCTTTCTCCTGAGGAGTCAGTTTAAACTGCTGACCTTTCAATGAGCGGCTGAGTGCTTAACCACTGTATCACCAGGGCTCCTTTAAACCCACACACAAACCTCCAGAGCTAATTTCTAAACTGTAAGTTGCTTTGGAGCCAGAGTGTGACTTAGAGTTCCTTTGAGACTGGGTCCTTACAAACCATCTCTTCGACTAGCCTTACAGTGGGCTTCTTACAAAGTAACTATTGTGAACCAGACCCTCTGGTCTTACCCACCCGCCACTGGAGGCTCTGTTCAATGGTCGGTTCTATCCGGAAAGTTAGGGGCTGAGAATAGGAAACTGTCTCTGGGGCCCCAGAGGCCTGCCCTGCGGTGGCAGAGCTTCTCTGTGGCTCGCAGAGATCTGGGGGCACCAGCATCTTGGAGTCAGCTCCTCTACTGAGCGGGTGACTTGGGCATTCGAAGGGGTTGGCCTCATTTCAGAAAAAGTTCCTGAAAGGTGCTGGGGTTGGTATTCTCCACAACTCCCCTTTGAACTACCAACATTAATGACTATTTTGTTTTGATTTTTCAACCAATAACCTGTGATCGTTCTATTTTATATTCCTCCTGGGTCAGATGCGATCCCCACAGGAAGCCTACAGCACTCTCAAATGATTCAAAGGATTCAAGGGGAACTAGCACATGGGGTGGGGGTGGATGGGACAGTGACCCTTCAAGAAGGGAAACAGCTTTCCCCTATGACCCCCACAGCCCGGCTCCCAGACATGTAGAGACACATTCATACTACAAAAGGGCTCTCACTGTTGATCTGAAATTCTGATTTAACTTGATGTCCTGTTACTTAGGTATTTTTTTAATGAACACTTCTTTTTATTATGGTAAAAATATATATAACAAAACATTTGCCAAATCAACGATTTGTACCCATCTTCGTGGTGTCCAGCCTTTGTCACTGTCCTTTTCTGAGTTAGTTCCCACCATCAATAGACTTAGTGGCTCTCTGTGCAGGGCTCCAGAGCTGATGTCACAGCCGGACCGCTTGGTGGGAGCTTTCACGAACAGAAATGGATTCTCGCTCCGTTTAAGAGGCAACAAGTCTGAATTCAGGGTGCTGGTCCAAGGGGCAGGCTCTCAGAGAAGGTTGTTATCTCTTCAGTTTCTTCCTGCTTCCTAGGTATCTCTTACCTCATGTCTCCTCTGCACCCTACAGGAATCCCGCCTCATTCATGTAAAACAGCCCATTCCCAAATGGGATAAGAATCACAGACTTGGAGATTAGAATTTACAACGCATACTGGTAACCAACAAATCCCCTCCACTCCCACCCATTAACAGCCTTTGCTTTCTAAAGATTTGCTTATTTCAGGTGAAGGAGACCCCTCATTTCCCTGCCCCCTTGGTGGCTGATTTACTTCGCTCCTCTGTATACCTTCAAGGCTCATCCATTGTAGGGATAGACCACATTTTAGCCATCATATGGTGGTGCACATATTGCCACTGTTGCCTTTTTGTCCATTTGTATTTTTTTCTAAAGCTTTCTGTTTAAATTGAGATGAAATTGACATCATATAAAACTGACCAACATTGAAATGGAGTACATTCACATTCACAGTGTTGTTCAGTTACCAGCTTTATCTGGTTCTGTGCCTGTCTTCCTGCTCTGGGATAAAACAAGACCCCAAGTGAGTGGCTTCAGCAGATAGAAATGTTTTCTCTCATGGTTTGGGAGGCTGTGAAATTGACACAGTACAACCGAATCCCATAAGTTGCACCTGGCCTCATTAACATCACAGAAGTGAGGATTTACAACCCAGAGGACAATTAGATCAGATCACCACAGGATGATTTGCATCATATTAGATCGCATTGTGAAGGTGATTGTGGTCGGTTGTGGTTAGGTGCCATCAAGTCGGAACCAGCTCACAGCAACACGAAGCACAACTGAACCTAAACACTGCTCAGTCCTGTGCCAACCTCACAATCTTTGCTGCATCGCTGCTTTCAGCCCATCGCTGCTGCCTCTGTGCCAATCCATCTCACTGGGGGTCTTCCTCTTTTTCTTGGACCCTCCATTTTACCAAACATGATATCCTTCTCCAAGAACTGGTCCCTCCTGATAATATGCCCCAAGTCTGTATGAGAATCCTGGCTTCCAGGGAGCACTCTGGCTACACTTCTTCCAACACAGATCTGTTTGTTCTTTTGGCAGCCCAGGGTACTTTGAATATTCTCCTCCAACACCATAACTCAAAAGCATCAATTCTTCTACGATTTTCCTTATTAACTGTCCAACTTTCACATGCATATGAGGTTATTGAAGATACTGTGGCTTGGGTCAGGCGTACCTTAGTCCTCAAGCTGACATCTTTGTTCTTCAACACTTTAAAAAAGGTTCATTTGCCTAATGTTATACGTCGTTTGATTTCTTGACTGCTGTTTCCATCAGTGTTGATGGTTGATCCGAGCAAAATGAAGTCTTTGACAACTTCAGTCTTTTCTCCATTTATAAGGATGTTGTTTTTCTTGGTCCAGTGGTGAGGACTTTTGTTTTCTTTGCATTGAGGTGGAACCCATACTAAAGGCTGTGGTCTTTGATCTTCATCAGTAAGTATTTTAAGTCTTCTTCGTTTTCAGCAAGTAAGGATATATCATGTGCATTTCGCAGGTTGTTGATGAGTCTTCCTCCAGTCCTGATGCCATGTTTTTCTTCAAACAATCCAGCTTCTCAGATTATGTGCCCAGCATACAGACTGAATAAGTATGGTGAAAGAATATAACCCTGGTGCACACGTTTCCTAATTTAAACCATTCAGTGTTCCCTTGTTCTGTTTGAACAACTGCCTCTAGGTCTATTTACAGGTTCCTCAAGAGCACAATTAAGTGTTCCAGAATACTCATTCTCCGCAATGCTTTCCATAGCTTGTCATGACCCACACAATCAGAAGCCTTTGCATAGTCAATAAAGTGCAGGTAAGCATCTTTCTGTCATTCTCTGCTTTCAGAGCTATCTGATGTCAGCAATGATATCCCTCGCTCCACGTCCTCTTCTGGATACAGCCTGAACCTCTGGAAGTTCTCTGTCAATGTATGGTTGCAGCACTTTTTGAAATATCTTTAGCAAAATTTTGCTCATGTGGGATAGTAATGAGATTGTCTGATGATTTGCGCATTCTGTTGGATCACCTCTCTTAGGAATGGGCACAAATATGGATCTCTTCCAGCCAGTTGGCCAGAGAGTTGACTTCCAAGTTTCTTTGCATACTCGAATGAGTGCCTCCAGTGAAGCATCAGTTTGTTGAAATGTTTCCATTTGTATTTCATCAATTCCCGGTACCTTCTTTTTTGCCAATGCACCTTGGACTTCTTCCTTCAGTATCATTGGTTCTTGATCATAGGCGACCTCTTCAAATGGTTGAACATCAACCATCTCTTTCTGGTGCAGTGACTCTATATTCCCTCTACCTTCTTTTGACACTTTCTGCATCATTCAATTTTCGCCCATGTTGTTGTTGTTATGTGCTGTCAAGTCAATTCTGACCCATAGTGACACTGTATAGGGTTTCTGAGGAGCAGCTGGTGAGCTTGAACCACCAGTCTTGCAGTTCAAATGGCTTTGCAGTCTGGTGCATTAACACACAACACCACACCAGGACTCTCCATAGAATCCTTCAATACTGCAAGTCGAGGCTTGAACATTTTCTTCAATTCCCTCAGCTTGAGGAATGCTGAGCGTGTTCTTCCATTTTGGTTTTCTAATGCAAGGTCTTTGCACATTTAATTACAATATTTGACCTTGTCTTCTTGAGCTGATCTTTGAAATTTTGTATTCAGCTCTTTTACCTCCTTATTTTTTCCATTTGCTTTAGCATCGCTATGCTGGAGAGCAAATTTCAGAGTCTCTACTGACATCCATTTTGGTCTTTTCCTTCTTTCTTGTCTTCTTAATGACCTTTTGCTTTCTTCCTGTATGATGTTCTTGATGTCATCCCACAACTCTTCTGGTCTTTGGTCATTAATGTCTAATTCATCAAATCTATTCTTGGCATGATCTCTAAATTCAGGTGGGATGCGCTCAAGGTCACATTTTGGCTCTTGTGGACTTGTTTTCATTTTGTTCATCTTTAGTGTGAACTTGCATATGAGCAATTGATGGTCTGTTCCACAATCTGCCCCTGACCTTGTTTTGGCTAATGATATAGAGCTTTTCCAGCATCTCTTTCCACAGATGTAGCCAATTTGATTTCTATGTGTTCCATCTGGTGAGGTCCATGTGTACAGTCATCGTTTATGTTGTTTAAAAAAGGTATTTGCAATGAAAAAGTCATTGGTTTAGCAAAATTCTATCATGCGATCTCCAGCATCATTTCTATCACCAAGGCCAGATTTTCCAACTACTGATCCTTCCTCTTTGTTCCCAACCTTTGCATTCCAATCACCAGTAATTATCAATAAATACATCTGATTGCATGTTTGATCCATTTCAGGTTGAAGAAGTTGGTAGAATTCCTCAGTTTCATCACCACTAGTTTTAGTGGTTGGTGCATAAATTTGAATAATAGTGGTAATTAACTGGTCTTCCTTGTAGGCGCATGGATATTATCCTATCACAGACAGTGTTGTACTTCAAGATAGATCATGATATGTTGTTTTTGATGATGAGTGTGCCGCCATTCCTCTTCAACTTGTCATTCCCGGCATAGTAAACACTGTGACTGTCAGATTCAAAATGGCCAATGTCCATCCATTTCAGCTCACTAACGCCTAGGATATCAATGTTTATGCATTCCACTTCATTTTTTTTAACTTCTATTTTTCCTAGATGCATACATCATACATTCCATATTCTGATTATTAATGGATGTTTATAGCTGTTTCTCCTCATTTAGAGTTGTGCCCGATCAGCAAATGAAGGCCTTATACTCCATTCACGTCCTCACGGTCAATTCTACTTTGAGGAGGCAGCTCTTCCCCAGTCACACTTTGAGTGCCTTCCAGCCTGAGGGGCTCATTTTCTGGCACTAGATCTGACAGTCATGTTTCAATTTTCAATATTCTGGTGTTAGCTGGCAGTGTTCCACTGTTTTTCATAAGTACTCCGTCTTTCCTCCTTCCCAGCTCATCTGAAACCTGTCCGCTGTGGGTGACCCTGCTGGTATTTAAAATACCGGTGGCATAGCTTCCAGAATCACAGCAACTCACAAGCTACCACAGCATGACAAACCGACAGAGGAGTGGAAGTAATAGATGACACAAAAGCCTTAAATATCACAGTGGCCATTAGCAGTGCACTGGTCTCTTCTGGATAGTTCCTGTCAGTGAAATCATACCATAAGTGGTCTTTTGTGTCTGGCTCTGTCACTCAACATCAGGCTTTCGAGGTTCATGTACATTGCACCCCAATTTTTATTTGCTAAACCTGACCACTTTACACTGAGCCTGCCACCCCAAGGCCGCCTCCTCAAGTGTCCCGGGATGTTTGACTCACCGAGAAAGAGGCTGAGGCTCTGAGGACTTCCTTCCTGTGCCCTGTCTCCCTGACTTCAGAAGTACAGGCCTGCTTGGGGCGGGGGGGGGGTGTAATTATTAGAATTGCCATCATCGGTGTTACTGGGCCACCAGACTCCATGCGCAGCTGAGTGGCCCTTGTTTACTAGGTGGTCCTCTCCCCGAAGGTTAGCTCAAGGTTACAAAGCTGTAACACATCTTGGAAGCCATCTGTGCCAGCTCCCTCAGAGCCCTAGGGTCTCAGTCTTGCTTGAAATAGCCTGCCAGATACTTAAGTTATGCCAGTCCAGTCATTGGATTCCTGGCATGGCGCTGTAGGATCAGCACTGGACTGTGAACCACAAGGTCGGCAGTTCAAACCCACCAGCTGCTCCCTGGAAACCCTATACAGGGTTGCTATGAGTCGGAACTGACTCTGCGTCACTGAACGACAGTCCAGCCATCAGCAAGCTTAGTCAGATTGGCACTTCTTCTACGGATGCTTCAGCTGTTTCGGATCAGTTTTATAAAAGAATAATCATGACACTAATGACTATTAAAATAATTCAATTGATACTTATAAATCAAATATAATAAAATATAGTCAAAGTCATCTTGGGTAATCTGATGGTTTGTCAAACTGCAGTTAGGCAGCACAATTTGAGATTGTGTTTTATTCAGGAAAGGAAATGCCAAAATCCTGTGCGTGTCATTTCTTTGCAGCCTGGGAGAACAAAGGCGATTCTGTTTCTCAGCACTTAAAACCAGGCCCATCCACTAGGTAAAGCATGTCCCTCCCCCATGCCCAGGTCTCCATTAGTAGGAATATTTGCAGCCACACAAGCTGGTTCTTTCACCCAGGGTGCTGTTCGGTGATGTACTGGAGTGTGCTAGGCTGGGGTTTGATGAAGTGTCATGTTGTCTGCCTTTCACCTTGATCTCTGCTCTCTTTGTCTCCTCAGAAACCAGCTGACTTCTGGTTTTACTTCTGCGTCTTCATTCTCGCTTTCCTAGGGCCCCCCTGGCTACCACTAAGGCCTTCCTGGGGGTGTCGACGTGGCAATCACTGGAGCTAGCTGAAGTCTCTTCCTTTTAAAGAAACGGACCCCCCAGTTCCCTCCCTGCTGCCACCAGGGTTTTCACAGTTAGCCCCTACACACACACATACACTCTCTCTCTCTCTGTATGTCTATGTGGACATAGTCACCACGTGGTCCTGCATGTGCTTTCACCTCGTACAGACCGGGCCGTGGCTGTTTCCTTCTACAGTCTCCCGTTTGTGTCCACTGGGGTGGTTCCTCATTTTGCGCATGTTCCTGTATCTGATGCTTGGTGTTAACATGTGCAGCCTTCACTAGGGGATCCACCTTCAACTTTTACTAGAAGTTGCCAAATCCCCAGCCAGAGCGCTTGCCTGGAACTCCGTGCCTACCAGCATGCGGCTGCTTCACAGCTGTCCGTGCCTTCAGAATATTGGCTGTTGGTTTTGGCAGTTCACTAGCTTGGATGGTTCTTAACGTCTTTGTGCCTCAGTTTCCTTTCCCTAGAACAAGATGCTAAACAGTATGTCCCTTACAGGGTGGAGGGTGTCTCCTATAACAGAAATTTCACAAGGAAGAGAGTTTAACAGAAATTTATTTTCTCACAGCTCAGGAGGCCAGAAGCCTGAATTCAGGGTGCCGAATCTTGGGGAAGGCTCTCTGTCCATCAGTTCTGGGGCAAAGTCCTTGTCATTACTATATGACAGAAAAAGGAGCCAGGAAGCATCATGGCGGTAGCTGAAGGAAGATTACTGAGGCCTTACTAGTGAGGAAACAGTGTATTGAAATTGAATGACCTCCAAGTTCATGGCCAAAGTGGGTCAGGTCTTAGGGCTGTGGGCTTCTTCAATCTTGATGTTTCGCACTGGATTCCATGGAGCCTGAATCTCCACAACTTTGGAATCAAATTTCTTTTTGAAAATCCATGTTTTGAATTGAGAGAGAGTTCACAGACCACATAATTGTGAAGTGTATAGCACATGCACCGACTGCGAACAGCAGCCTCCTCCTCGGTAGTGTACGCAGCCTGTTGGCACGTATAGGTTGCCCTAAGGGACCCTGGAGACAGCCCTTTCCTGCCCTCGTGTCTGTGACCTCGCTCTCACCTCTGCTGTCCCTAACCTAGGCTCCAGACTAGGATGCGAGGGGCCTTTGGCAAGCCCCAGGGCACTGTGGCTAGGGTCCACATTGGCCAAGTCATCATGTCCATCCGCACCAAGCTTCAAAACAAGGAGCATGTGATTGAGGCCCTACGCAGGGCCAAGTTCAAGTTCCCTGGGCGTCAGAAGGTAAGCAGGGCTGCCGCCCACCCCCACCCCTCCCAGCTTGTGTCCCTAGGCTCCTAACCGAGTTCATTCTGATGGTTCCCCAGATCCACATCTCCAAGAAGTGGGGCTTCACCAAGTTCAATGCTGATGAGTTTGAAGACATGGTGGCTGAGAAGCACCTCATCCCAGATGGCTGTGAGGTCAAATACATCCCCAACCGTGGCCCCTTGGACAAGTGGAGGGCCCTGCATTCGGGAAGGCCTTGGTAGCCCTGACCTGTGCCCTCCAATAAACTTCCTGTCTCAAAAAACAAACAAATAAAATCAAGGGTCAGTGCGGTGGTCTGTCATATATTCACAAGGTTATGTGGTCATTGTCACTGTCTGATTCCAGAACATTTTCATTACTCAAAATGAAGCCTTGTACTCATTGGTGTGGCACTGTGGGTTAGTGCGCCAGACGGCAAAGCCGTTTGAACTGCAAGGTCGGTGATTCAAGCTCACCAGCTGCTCCTCGGAAACCCTATACAGGGTCGCTATGGGTCGGAACCGACTCGACAGCACTTTACAACAACAACTCATTTATTGGTAGGAGTCCTGGTGTGACACTGTGGTTAATGCACTGGACCGCAAGGTTGCTTTTAACAGCAAAGGTGGCAGTTCAAGCTCACCAGCGGCTCCTTGGAAACCCTATAAGGGTTGCTATGGGTCGGAACCGACTCGACAGCACTCAACAACAACAACAACAACTGATTGGTAGTCCCTCTCTGAGCTTCCCCGCAGCTCATAGCCCCTGGCAGCCTCTCACCGACCTCCTTCCTCTATCTAGGACGTTGTCTCTTCTGGACATTTTATGTCAGTGAAATCACACAACGGGTAGCCTTTGGTATCTGGCTTCCTTCCCTCAGCAGAAGGTTTTTGCAGGGTTCATTGTATTCTTCATCAGAACTTCATTCCTTTTATGGCTGAATAACATTCCATTGGGGGAGCACAGTGGCTCTGTCGGATAAGCACTGAACTGCGGTTTGAGCCAACCAGCTGCTTTGCGGAAACCAGATGATGCTTTCTCTTCCCACCAAGATTTACCGCTTCACAAACCCTATACAGGGTCACTATGAGTTGGAACTGACTCAATGGCAATTAACAACAACACAACTATATTCCGCTGTACACCCTCTCCTCCCTTACTGACATGATTAGCTTTCAAAGACCAGGTCATTTATGTGAAAATCTGTATTATGCAAAACTGGAGGATGACTACACCATTACACAACTACCAAATTACATCGTTACTGAAGTGCCAAACCACGGAGAACCCAAACCTCCACCCTCCAGCCAGCGCTGTGCTCACCTGGCGTGTCACAGGCTCTTCCTGCTAGATGTATAGTGCTAATGCGCAAACATGGCTGGGGAGCAGATGTTTTGTTTTTAAATGTTTTATTGTGAATTATGTGATAGTTTACATGGGTGAACATTAGTTTTACATTCATTCTATCGTATATCGTCTCATTGCCATGGTTACAA